TATATATATATATATATATATATATATATATATATATATATATATTATAACCGTGGAACCTATAAGTAGACCATAATGAGTTAAAAGCTCATACTGATATCAGATTACAGAGTTTGTTATAATTTTCTTATGATAATTTATAACATAAGGTCTCATGTTACGTAAGAAAGAACTTAGCAGCAGTAGAGCTCCGTGTGAAAGAATTCGTCCAGGGTACTGCATCCTTACCTATTTCTACCGCCAAATGTTAATGTTAGCATTACTGCGTTACGGTTCTGAAGGGTTAAGGGTGCTGGTGAAATTACAAACACATGGAATTTGTCAACTTATGTGTCCGAGTGACGGATACAGTGGCAGCTCTGAGTGGCACTGCAACTGTTATGGACAGGCGTGTAGCTTACCATCAGGCGCACGACTTGTTCGTTCCGTCACTTGTTATTATTAAATAAAAGAACTGCCTGCGAGTAACTGCTACCGGCCGCGGCTCACAGACTACATACAACTTAGGTAGCAGCTACTCGCGCTGAGTCGTCATATTCCATCAAACATAAATAAATAATCCGTCTTACATCTCTATATTAAAAAAATCACAAAGCATATGCGTCATATACATCTTTTTGATGTAGCCTTAAATGCCGTAATGTTATGTCGCTTATCTTAGCATTTTTATTATTCATTTTTGCCCATCGCTTTTCACATTGCAACTGGCTGGATTGAACACGTAAGTCACTTCTATAATAACAGGGCCCGCCACTTCGAAAATCGAAATTTGAATTCTATAAAGGGAGTTAATTTACCTAAAGTCATCAATTCGTAAAAAATTGTCTTTTTTTTACCATTGACCTACCAACAAATGGACATCGGGTCTAATACAAAAACCACAAAAAAAATATCCGAGGTTAACCTATACAAACGTAGTGACATGTAACGAAATATAAAAAACTAAAACATTTAATTTAAATTGTAACGTCATTGCAGTACTGCCTAAATTTGTTTACAACAATTTAAGGGCCCAAAAACACCATATTCGGCTTCTACTGGAAACTTAACAAAATGCACCATATTTAGCTTCGACTGAAAATTACTTGAACACAAGAGTAATAGAGTAGCCTTTCTCGTAAATATTAATTAATTTTTTTATATATATTATTATGTCGAATTTTGTACAAATTCACTTAAAGGTATAATAAAGAGTTGGGCAGATATATACATACAATTATTACTACAAATGTGAAAATAAGCGGCGTGTACAATAAGAAATGTACCGATATTCTAACTAAACGTAAACTCAAATATCCGTAATTCCGATTTATAATAAAACCGTTACGCTTTCGTGTAATTTTAATGCTTTTCACAAAGACAAAATTAGTTTTTATTTTGTAATCTTTCTAAAAAAATACATTTGACATTGAAATTGACATGAAAAGTCGAGCTAACGTTATTTCGGGCAAATGTATTTTCTGACTTCTGATAGGTAATCCCATACCGTAAAACGAGTACAACAATATTTTGTTAGTTATTGCTAACGTTTAATAAAAAATCATTTTAAAAATAGGATTAAAATCAAAGCAACTCTACAGTTTCTTTGTTCTAAATATTTCAATCGCTTGTGGTTCGAACAATTGAAAATGACCAAGAAGTTTATATAAGCGTCTTGAAACTGACGTAATGGGTCTCTTTCCGTCTTTTGCACATGCAATGAGTAGAAAAAGGACAGTTAGCTATTTCATATTTCGTGTGCTTTTGTAATTTATATTTACGATTCAGTTATATATAAATTAAATACTATAAAACTGTACAAAATAACACATTTAAATGACAACTATGATAACACAATTTATTTGTTTATTGAAAATATGATACAAAATCCTGTTTTCACACTTTACTGCAGTCATGTTAAAAAGTTATTATTTGTACTGCATATATTGGTACTGCATGATTGACAATCGCGCTGTCACTCGAACAAACAAAGACTATTGCGCGATTGACGCTCTGTATGCTATTTTAATGCCCTACATGTACGGACACTTTAACGCGAACCCGACGTCCATTTATTGGTAGGTCAATGTTTTTTACTGTTTATTTTCTAAACATTCTAAAATATAGTTGTCCCGTGTTTGTTTTTATATTGCATAAGTATGTGAATACGTATGTACCTATAGATAATAATATTATTTTTTGAGACTATAATTTGTAGCAAATACTTAACAGAAAATAATAATTTGTCGCCAAAATACTCAAATTTCAATAAATAAATAATACGCATATTCAAACATAATCAGTTCCGAGAAGTTCCGGGATTTGTAGAAGGGAATGTCAACATTATTCTTTAGCTTAGCTGAAATTACTCCCTCAATTCCTACACTGGCTATAAGATTAGTTGTTCGACTTATCATCGCACTAATGGTCATTGTCTTTTATAAATATGTTATTGTACCAATGATATTGTATTTACTAATGCACTCTATGAGAACGGACTCTTTGTATGTTCCATGGGCGCCTTCGGACTCGACGCTTGTAGAACTGCAGTGGCGCAACTGTGGCGCCGCAACCGCATAACTACTAATTTACATACAATATTTAGAAGCGCACCTGCAACGCCACAGACGCGCCACTGCAGCGCTTCTACAAGCGTTTAATTTGAATTTGAAGCGTTTATTATGATAAGTTTTGCAAAATCTAACAACAGTTGTTTGTAATAGTTAAATCTGGTTTAGACTAGCTCAATAGTAAGTAATAACTACAATGCTTGATTACAAGTTCACCACTGCTTCGCACTCAGCATTATTCACTCGTGTAAACAGACATAAATGTTTCATGCAGAAATTTGAAGGAGCGGGCCATGTTAACAATGAAAGTCTATAAAATATCATAAATGAAATAATATTCTATTTATTATAGTTGAACGCAGTTTACATTTGCTAATTTTTTTTAGACGATGATGATGAATATGATGACATTGATGAATCCGTATCAAACCACGATCCAAATAATGCAACGAATATTGACTGTGAAATTGATGGCTTTCACGACACGAATGCGACGGAATCGGATAATGAAACTGACGACATTGAAATGCATTGGACTAAAATGGACAATTCTTATATTAATGAGACGATTTTGAACGATCCTAAAAAAAATTGCACACCATTTGACATTTGTGAAATAATTGGCGTAAAATGGGATGACCGTGAAATAAATGTAACGGAAATTGACGATTGTGGGACGGACGGAACGACATCGAACGACAATGAAACGGATGAAACGCGAGCACATACAGCGTTAACAAAAAATTATTCCCCAAAACAAACTGAAAAAAGGAGTACTCTCTTTGACATGTCAGGTATAGTTAATTTTACTTTGAATTTGTGAAATAAATAAAATATCTTGATATTGATCGAATTATTAACGATGTTTATTTTATTTTTACTGCTAATGGGGAAACTCTTTGTAAGTATAATGTATATATGTGAAGTCGCATTATCGCGTACCGTTTATAAATAACGACACGACACTGATTTTTACAGATGCCGATTACGATTCGGATGCGTCAATGGCCCTGGAAATAGTTTCGGATTCGGAATCACCCAAAAAAGAAAACAATAAAAATATGTCGCAAACCATAGGAAAGAAGAATGCACATACACCGAAAGCTCAGAAAAAAGAATCACCAGAGATAATCAGAGGTAAAGTGAAATATGTTTTAATCTAATGTTGATTGTAATTAATATTTCGATGTTTTACTACCGTGATTACCGAAATTACTCGACTAGTGTTTTATAATTTTATTAATACAAAAACCGAACACAAAGAAAAATTCCTTACATCTGACAGGATTCTAATTCTATTCTGCGTCTGTGCCAGTGGGTTTACTCGCGTTCCCATTAAAAGACGCATGGTGCGAATGAAGCTTCATATGCGACATTGTTTTTAAATTTGAAAATAAATATATGTATATAAATAGTATTTGCCAAGCGAGTTCAGAGTAGATAAAGACTATAACCATTCAGCCATACGTTTAAGTAGAGCTTAATTAGCTGAGGGATTAAAAAGTCAGGCGGTAAAAGAAAATGGCAGAATACATTCCTGGAGTGCAACTTGTGAACATCTGGGGTCATATTCTAGAACTCTACTCAATGCTCAAATCAGGACTTGAGTATGGTTTGAAACACTCGAAATCATACTCAAGTCCCAGCCATTAGGGTCGTATTTCCAGTGCTTGTGTTGCCAGTGCAATCCTGACTTGAGCATTGAATAGAGTTCTAGAATACGACCCATAGATTTGTAAGTTTTGATAAACGGGGCTCAGGGTCTCAAACTAGGAAATTCCTTCCTTTCAAATAAATAAATAATTAAAAGTACCAAAGCAATGAAATTAACTCTGGGGCACTAAAAAAAACCCTGACCAGGACCAATTTAAAATAGTTTTTCAAATTGATCCTGCGGGGAATCGAACCCGGAACCTCTTCCAAAGTTAACACTTTGTTAACAGAGTTACCTTATTTACCACAGAGTTACCTTATTTTAAGAGTTGAAATGACGACAACTTTTTACAGATGGCGATTCTGACATAACTGTAGTGAAAATAAAACCAGACCCTGATGCACTTGAAGCTGGATCGTCAAAAGGAAAGGATGAAGGCGTGTCGCAATTACGAAGGCAACTCAAAACATACGCTTCGAAAAGTGAAAAGAACAAGATTGTTGTTGAAAAAATGATTACCCGAAGCAAAAGCAGAGGTTCGTAACGAAAAGTAATACTTCTTTTTTATGGTACCAAGTGACGACACGAACAAGCGTGCGCCTGGTGTCAAGCGACACGCGTGGCGTGGCCATAGCAGTAGCAATGCAACTCCGAGCTTTAAATCGCAAAGATCTGAGGATAATATTAAACATAACTTGACTTTACCTTCTTAGTCAGCCTTGACCATGGAACCTGTAAAGAGCCCGAAAACGTTGGTTTATATGAAAGAACAAATACGCGCGATTCAGAAGTTAATAATAATGTACATTTGTTATAATACTTTTTTCTATGTATTTATTCAGTGTAGTAAGTAGCATTCAATTTCTTTATTTATTTATTTTTAGTGCCACCCCAAAAACCACCTATCCTCTCAGATTTTCAAAGGTTAGTTAGAAGAAATCCTTTATGGGATAAGCTTTGTTGTGCCTTTGTACGCAAAATAATATTTTCAATTATTATTTATACAAAGATCGAACACTCAGAAAAAATTCCTTCGATCCGGCCGGATTCGAACCAACGTCTTCTAGCCTACCGTGGCAGACGCTGTACCAAGTAAGCCACGGAACGCACCAGCGGACCTCACGAATTTTTCTATGTGCTTTCGTCGTGTCTTTGTGTTTAGAAAAAACAATTCTGAGTGTTCGATCTTTGTATTAATAATTATAACAAACTAGTGGAGTAATTTCACAAAAAATCATGGAATATCAATTCAATAAAAATTTAAAATACAGTGAATAGCGACATCTCTCGCCAGGACTCGTAGCTATAAAGCTGGGTGATAAGTCTTTCATAGATTTCTCATAGATGGCGCTACGACTAAAAAGTCGTTGAAAAACCAAATACAAAGACACGACGCAAGCACATAGAAAATTTCATGAGGTCCGCTGGTTCGTTCCGTGGCATAGTTGGTATAGCGTCTGGCACGGTAAACTAGAAGACGTCGGTTCGAATCCAGCCGGACCAAAGGAATTTTTTTTGAGTGTTCGATCTTTGTATTAATATTATAACAAACTAGTGGAGTAATTTCACAAAAAATAATTGAATATCAATTCAATAAAAATTTTAAATATTTTCACTTCTTAATGAAAATTTGTAATTTACTTTGTGGTACAATAAAGTGTTTAAATAAATAATTAAATAATGTTATGTAATCAATTAATTGTGATATCATTCAAATTTTGAATAAAATTCACGTAATCGATGTTAATGATTATTGAAAGATTTTTTTAAGTAAACACTGTTGTTGTTTTTTTTTTTTGTTAAATGAGCTGAGCGCAAAGTTCTTAATTTTTTCTTCTTTTTTGGTCAATCTTTATTAATAAAAGTGGTAGTAAATTACTATGCTCCGCGAACCCAGTGAAAATTAAATCATGCAAAATAGCTTCACTTCACAACCATTTTTATTAACATGGATTTCCGAAAAGTAATACCTGCATGTAGGTAATTTTCAGGTTAGTTTTCTTTACCTAATTTCAGTGACAATTTTATTATTTCAGTTTTCGAGTATTACGAGGAAATATTAAACAATATTTCATTATACTACACTTGAATATTAAATAATCATTCGTGATAATATTCCAGAATATTCAAATACTAAAATTTGTCACCGAAATTAGGTAAAGAAAACTAAGCTGAACATTACCCATGTATAATTATTCAATCGTTATTAATCGTAATTAAATTTTTTCATCTGCTACTGCGAATTGCACTCAATCTGGTGAGTAAATATGTAATAAAAAAGTGCGTTATAATTAATTATATTGTTATGAAGAGTTTCAACACCTGTGACTGTTTACAGACGATGAATATGAACCCAAAGGGACAATACAAATGGAAATAAAACCTGATCCGGAAACACTAAACGCTGAATCGACAAAGAAGAGACAGGATCAAAAGGAACGGAAACCACACGAACAAAAACATCAAGAAATCAATGTTGTCGAAAATAGGAATACTCGAAAAAATAAAGGTACCAGAAAATAATGCTATAGTAAGATTATTTACTCGCTATATATATTGCATCTGTGTTGATGACTCTGGCTTATTCCCTAGACTCGATTTGTGTTGTGTAAACTGTATTAGTTAGTACTTAGCAAAACTAACACGTTTCGCGACATGCCGTACTACACTACCGTAGTACATTTAAAAAAAAATTTGAAGTGTCAAAGCTAGCGACTTATTTTTTTTAAGCTACGACTCAATGAAACTTATTTTTTTTCTACACTCATAACGTTTATTGTTTGATTTGTGACTGCAATAAATAGCATGGTTATTTATGATGACGTTAAAAAAAAATCACTCCAAAATTTGAAAATTTGTGATGACAGTACCTAAATATGTGGTCTAGGGTATCGATTTTCAACATTTTCAAAAAAATGCCTATTATCACTTAACTAAGTGACATAGTCACTTACATAAACAATATTTAAAAAGTAACTACAACATTTGAAAATGGAACTCTTTGGCTGTAGAATACAGTTTGTTTCATCTGTCACTTGCTTTTACATTGTGGCGTCATTTTAGAAATTGATTGTCTGCATCACCATGGATTTAACTCGTGGTAATTTTCATAGTATGATTTTCTATGACTTTAAGTGTAATTTAACAGCTCAGCGGAGCTTCACTCTGCTTCAAACTGCTTTTGGCGATGAAGCGCCATGCAAGACGACTATTTATAGCTGGTTTGCAAAATTCAAACGCGGTCGTGTGAATCTCAGAGACGAATTTTGTGATGATCGCCCGTCCACTGCTGTGAACAACAAAAATATCGATGCTGTGGGCCGTTTGATCAAAACAGACAGGCATGTGATATACCATGAGATTTGGGCATTATTAGGCGTAGGCATGAGTCAAATACAATCCAACTACACAAACATTTGGGTATGAAAAAGCTGTGCTCTCGGTGGATCCCACACAATTTGACTGAAGCTCAAAAAACGGATCGCGTCACTTAGTGCAACGCCATGCTTACCAGATTCAATGAAGGGGCGTCAAATTTGAAGAGATTGTCACGGAGGAGTGGCATAAGTGTTTTCAAAATTGGTTCATTCGTATGAAAAAGTGCATTAACGCTAACGGAGAATATTTTGAAAAACGATAAATTCATTTCTGACCATTTATAGTATTTTTTTCTTATTCATTCTGGAAACTTATAGTGCGCCTCACGTATATCAAATCCATCTCGAAATTCAGCTCGAATTATGTGCATAAGAAAATCGTTAATTTCTTGACTATTTTTAGATTTTTTTTACTAAAAAAATAAGTGCGCATTTGACCTCCGTCTTACCCGATGGAAAGTGACGATGAGGTTGACGATGGAGCATGCACATCTAAATAATACCTATTTAGAAAATATTAATATAAATATTATTAATAATAATTTTTCTTTATGAGAATCCCAGGTTAAAAGGTTTCGGGTGAATGAGAAATATAGCTTTACCTCTACTTCATAGTAGAGATAAAGGTATATTTCTCAATACATTTCTAGTAATCTCATGATTACGTGTTGAAGTCGCTATCGGCCGTTCGCTCCATCCGATCACTCGTGACTGTTACGCTATGTAAAATAAGCCATACGAACATTTAACGCAGTCGCTAGCAATTCAACAGAATAAACTCATGATAGAAGTTTATGTGTTCTTCTGCTTATCGTATCGCGACCGTGGTGAAAGGATTTACCAATTACCACATGAGCCAGACGTACAGGAAAGGGGTGGTATTACGTCGTGTAGAGAGGCTCCTTTCGTGTACCCCAGTTTTTACGTTTATATCATATACACTTTCATTTATATATTAATTCATGCATAATTTTTTCATCCATCATGCTTGGACAATTATTGTTGTAAGTATTTTCTCCTTAAAGAATGTACAGTGTTACGCCATTATGATAATAAATGTGACACGACCACTTTTACAGATGACGATGACGATTCCGATGCGTCATTACAAATGGAAATAGTATCAGATCCGGAAATACAAGAAACTGAAACGTCAAAGGAAAAGACGGATGTACAAACAACAAAAACAAAAGAAAAGGAAAGCAAACATCCTAAAAATCAGGAGAACAAGAATCCAAAAACTCAGGAGAGCAAGGAAGGTGTCTTACCTTTGAAGAACAAGGGTAACATGTTTAATAATTATTATTAAACTTTATTATTATAAAATGTATAGAAATATAATATATTTTTTTGAAACAAAAATAACATCCAAATATAAATTAATTATGTGCTTTAGTATCATTTAAAGTAATATAAAAACAAATATTGTGGGTTACACCACTATTGCGCTTATAACCTCAATTATGCTATTGACATTATTGTTCTTTAGTGCTATTAATAGTTTACTGATTAGGTATAAATTTAATACGTCGGTATAAGGGCATCTGTCAGATAAAATATTTATATTAAAAATGTTACTTCTCCCGGTGACCGCTCGGGGCACTGTACAATTTGGCATTTATTTGTGAAATAATTTACGCGATCGGAAGCGATATCTGTAAGTCATGGTAGAGGCACAGAAAATAGTCACCACGCCAAAGTAATCAATCGAAATTTATCGTAACTGTTAAGGCATAAGGTTAATTGTGTTGAAATTAAATTTTCCGCTTTCGTAAACCTCGAATGACGAAATGGGGTTAATGAAATTCTAAAGATCTGATGAAGAAGAAAAGTAGTACAAAAATAGTTTAAAATTACGTGGAACTAATAGGAATAAATATGACATGTTAATGTTACAATTGTTCCACGTTGAACCGAGAACATGGAACTACTGGGAATAAAATTAGGCTTTAGAAAATAGTACTGAGTATGCTTTTATAATCATATCATAAAATATACGATGTTTATTTCATTTGCCATTGCGAATGCAATAAATGGAAGTAAGTACTTTAATCTCGAATAATAATATATTCCACAGCTATAGTTATTAAGTAAATGAACATGCCTTTTTACAGATGACGGTTTCGATTCAGATTCGATTGTACAACCGGACTTAATGTCAGATTCGAAAACACAAACAGATTCTACGTCAAAGAAAGACAGTGACGAACAGACATCGCAAACAATAGCAAAGAAAAGGAAAGCACATATACCAAAAAATCAAGTAACATACGTAAAGAAAGTAAAACCTCCTGAAAGTCAAGACACTGAGAAAGATAAGAATAATGATAAAAACGAAAGCGATGTAAACAAAAAAAACGATGATAGGAAAGACTGTCATCGCAGAGATTCGTTTTACAAATGCACATGTGAAGGTAAGTTTCCAGTTGGACATTCCACCTCTTCAACTCACATTTAAATGTGAGCGTCTTTAATATCACAATATTTTCGCCCAACCCGATTGGCTGCCAATTGCGTGATACATCAGCCTATAAAAAACGTATTATACATTCCATATAAAGTATACATTAATAGAAATATACAACAGAAATATTCAAAAGTTCTGCGGACTATATATGTAGCTCAATTGGTAGAGTGGTTGCCCTAGATTGTCAAAATAGAGACAAGTTCAAGTCCTGTCTGATCGAAGGATTTTTTCTGATCGGATCTTTGTATTAATAATTATAACCAACCAGTGGAGTTATTTCACAAAAATAAATGAAAATCATGGCAGTAAAACTTAATAATGTTTAATTAATATTACAAAGTACATTAATGTTCTGTTTATTTCATAGATATAGGAAAAAAGGGGAGATATGTAATGACGCTATGTAAGATCGGGTAACGATGTCGCCACTTTTTAGTTTGTGTGCAATTCAAACTTTCCGCTCTATTATCTACTACCATAACTTAACTATTTTGATTGGTTAGGGCTTAAAACATGGACATAATTATACAAACAAGAACCAATCCACACCTCGAGTGAAATTGAGTTATGTATTTAGGTAGAACACCAGACGTGTCCTTTACCCGCTCACAAAAGACCCTGGCAAACTACCAAACCAAAACGGAGAAAATAAAAGTCCTTCAGGGTACCAACCCTAAATAAGTAACTTTTTAATAGCTAAAAAGAACCATGCTGCTTAACTTCATATAATGTATTTTTTATAATAAGCTAAATGGATCCATGTCACATGTACTGAAGTACTGTAGATCTTTTTAGCGTTTTCATTACGAAAACTAGAACACGGTTCTCGTTAACTAAATAAAAAGATATATAGTGTTTTCTATTTATTGCTATATAATATAATAGTTTTCCTATATCATTCTCAATGCTACATATAACTCACGTTGTTTGTCTCAAATGACTTCCTTATTTATTTCTTCACACTGTTTTTACAAAAATCTAATTATCTCGAAAGTGACATTTTGTGGGTTGGTTCTAGTTTGCATATGTCCACATGAAAACGACGTAACACAATTTTAAATTTTATAAAATTAAACTTTCAGTCCCTTGTGTAAGAGTTATATTGCAATATTTCAGTATTTTGTTCATCCTGGTTCAGCCATTCGCCATCAGGTGGCGTTTTAGTAAAAAATGCTACCAATATATAATAGCTGTTTTTTTTTAAATGCATTTGGTATGGAAAACACAAAGTCAGAAATGATAATAAGAAAACCAATCTTTCCATTTTCTTGCAGCTTCAATGCAATCTTCTTTTATTTGAAGTCATTGGAAAAAACCTAAAAATTAAAAATACTCTACGTTTAATCTACGAGTATAATGGAATTTAAATATCCAAATTATCTAAAAAAATAAATAAATAATACATATACATTTTTCATCAAGCAACAGCAACAAACAAATTGACATGACATTTAAACGGCTGTCCGAAATATGAGTTGTGTTAAAGTAACTCGAAATAAAATGTTAAGTAATAATCATTGATTTGCAAATAAATGGTAATAATAATAATTATAAAAAAAAACTTGAATGCTTTTCTTACAGGCTTTACTTACAAAAATCATAGAAATTCAAACATTTCAGTAAAAATTAATTGTCGATAAATGAACATAACTATATTTGAGTGTAGAAATTTCTATGGAGACAAAAAGAAAACTTTGAATAATAATAGAAAGTTATCACACTGGTTTGTTTGTCATGTCACTGTAGCGACGTTTGAACGCGTGTCGCCTCGATATGATCAATTTGATCATATGACGAATATGATACGATATATACACGAACCACGCCCTCATACCAAGTCTCTCCTTTTTTCCTATATTTATGGTTTATTTTCAAAGCTTATACTATAAAATCGACTAACCATTACGCTACGCGACTCAGATATTTTACGTGATAGTGTTTTTATCATTATATTTTTAACATAGCCGTTATTCTAACCTGCTCCTGAATTTCAATATTGTAATCGTGTGTTAATATCGTGCGTTATGATAATCTTTTTTTCTACTCCTGTACTTTAATCTGTTAATTATAATTTCATAAACCATATCACAAATGCGCTCTTTTGTGTTTAATTATTTTAATTTACTTGTGGAAAAATTATTGTATTTTATTTTAACGTACTGGAAGACCAACGACGATAATAAAACTGAAATAATTATGGAGAGCCAATTATAGGTCCGCACAGATAGACACACATTAATTTAATGAGCATTAAATTATGACTATATAACTACATAGGGAGCACTATAAGTTTCCGGAACTGGCCACTTACATAAACAATATTTAAAAAGTAATTACAACATTTGAAAATGGAACTCTTTGACTGTAGTTTACAGCCAAAGAGTTGTCGAGCGAGAGTCATCGGATCACGAACTCTAGTCGAAAAACTAACTCGAGTTCGAAAACTCGTCTCAAAGCTACTTCCACACCAAAGTCAAGAGGACGACAAGCAGGGTTCAATTTTATTGAAAATCTATTAATGTCCACGAATTAAATAAAAAACAAAAATCTCAATATGGTGATTTATAAAAGAAAGAAGATATAATACTTAATTATATTACAGTAATTATACTACAGTTTAACACACCACACCACAACACCGCTCAGTAGGTACTTACCAGACTCGAGCTCGACTCGTTACATAATTAGACTCGAGCACTAATGCCGAACTACCGAAGTCTATTTGGAAACTCGATAGGTTCGTAATACATCGAGCAGTGAGTCTTTGTCTTTATGAGTCGAGTCTTGTAAATTGGAGTCGAGTCCTAAAATGGAGACTCCCGGACTCGAGTTTTTTACAACACTAATCTGGGGATTTACTTCTCGTTCTCCGTCCGACATCCGTCCGAAGAAATTACTGTCAAATAAGTGATACTCGACTCGAAGCTTCATTCGCATCATGTGTCTTTTAACTTGGTCGTGTATTACGTGTACGAGAGTATAGGGCCTGGTTAGTACGTTACACTATTGACATAAAATGTATTACGCTACTGTTACAAAAATTCGCATCCACTCCAATGTAAATTGAACCTTGTAGCTTGTAGTTTCGTTACATCCAGTCTGTACTTCACAGCTCTTTTATTCGCTGTCAAAATATTTAAGACGTCTCCGTCAAAATAGGGTATGTATGACAAATGCAAAGTGTAACAAAAAAAAAGTCAGCTGTAAAATGGGTTGGGCTGTAACTTTTTTACATTTATTAAAATAACGACAATGAACGATTGTACAAACCGAATAAATGAATAACATATTCTTTATAGTACATTAAAAAGTTCACAATAATAACACAGACTGGTAATGTAAGCATATAAATATCACAGAATAACCTAAAGTACAACAGGCGGCTTATTTGCAAACTAGCTGCATCATCCAGGCGACCTTAGGATAGAAATTTGAGAGTTGCAAACTCATTAGAATAAAAAAAAATAATAAATACATTACACAACGCTTATTGCTCGTTACACCGGTACATTGTCCAACATTAGACTTCGGTTAAAGCAAGGCATGTTGAGTCGAGCTTTACAATGCAACGTGCCTACAACTCGAATACTCTTTGTTAAATGCTTTTTAATAGTGAATGTCATTTAATGTTAATTTTCTGCAGATTCTGCATTCAAGAAGCCACCGCCAAGATCGTTTACAAAGTACTTAGTTAAGAACAACGCCACTCACGAAAAGTTTGATCTCATCGTACATTGCTCACATAAGTATAGGGTAAGTATGTATTTTATTTTAAAATTAATTCGACTTTTAGGCCTCTGTAATATATATATTTTATATCTCACGCCAGAACCAAACCTACGAAGTGTTATTGGAGCCAGTACCAGAGTATCAGATCGACCTCGGTGCGAGCTATCAGTCGCCGCAAAAGCTCGTCAGCATGGCGCTCTCGCTGCATCTACGCACGTGCTCCATGTTGTTGAATGGTAAACAACGACACCATGTATAGTGGACCACAACTAGTTACACATCAACGTCAACATCATTATCAACCCATTTATACGTCCCACTGCTAGGCTCAGGTCGAATGCTGGTTGGGGACTTCACACATTTTCCGAGGGTTGTGAACCTTCTTCGACGTGCAGGTTTTATCACGATGTTTTCCTTCGCCGAAAACCTCATGGTAAATTTCAAATTAAATTTCGCACATAAATTTCGAAAAACTCAGGTGCGAGCACGGATTAACCCACGGCCACTACCACTATTATATTATCAAACCCAATGACGCGAATTGCGCTTTTCGTTGGTAGCGTTATAAACATAAAACTGAAACTTGAGTGCCTTGCGTTCTTATGAAATTGATAAAAAGTACAAAAAAATTGATCCCAAGTTAACATTCTGTACATGTGTGTACAACACAACCTCGCAAAATAAAATTCGCAGTGAGAATTGACAGTCCAACTGGCGACGTGGTAAGGATTGACGATATGCGTCGAGATCTGTTGGAAGCAAAGTTGATTCGAGAAGCGGCGAGTGTCATACATTCCGCCTTAAGTCAACTGCAGGGCTTGCTCCCTGGACATTACATATTGCAACATGAGGTGAGTATAGAAAATTATTTACTCGCTGCAGATGCTACGGTCATAAATCATCGGAGAGACGGCGATTTTGCGGTTTCTCTCTCACCTGCTTAGTGATTTACGAACGTGACTCGTGCGCACGCCCATTATCGATAAAATTAAATCGGTGCGGTAACTTTTAAGTAATTTATTGCCTGCTTTTATCTAAATGTCACAACTTTTTTATTTTAATACCATTCACTGTTTGAACGTTGACCTGGGCACAATGTATAATTTAAAAATCATAATTCAGGTGTAGGAACTATATTACGGCTCAAGCACGTATTGTTGCCAATAATGTGCTATAGAAATTATTTTTATTACCATTCCTACTTTCACTATTAGAACTAAATTGAACATTAAATATATGTAAATATAATTATGTATCGATAACATTTATCGACTGCAGTAATGCACGGCCTTGCGCATAAACGAAAGTTCTTGAGCGTAAACCTGTGATAAGTGGAAGAGGGAACGCAATATCGCAGTCCTACTCCGATAAATTTATGGCCGAGTCTGCAGAAGACAGTCACATACGTATGGGTGGGTGGCCTTTGCGGAGTACACGCGGAGCGTGTTCTGTGCGGAGTGCACGCGGAGCGTGTTCTGTGCGGAGTGCACTCGGGGCGTGTTCCGTACGGAGCTATCTGCGTCACTGTAAAACGATGTTCTATCGCCACACGTGGTACTCCGGTCCAGTGATCCGCAGATAGATCTCCGCACTGCTCTGAAACCAGCCTAACCGTCAAACTTGAAAGCCAGCCTAAAGTTAAATTACAAATTATATACATTTACGAAATCCAGACTTTCAAGTTCATCGGCTAGGAAACAGGAATTGATGGTGTGATTGTCTGTATTTTTTTTGCTAGCCAAGTCACGGCTCCAACGCTCTACTATTCGCACCAAGAGTGACCGCTGCGAAGGACAAACAGCGTTTAACATTGGACTTCGACTGCTCGCAAATGGCAGAAACCGACGAGTCCAAGACCTTGAAGACACCAACTTTGACCGATATACTATTGCCAGCGCATAAGTGAGTCCTGAAATTCACTAAGTTTTGTTATTGTTAACGAAATATTGCACGGATTCGAAAAAAGCTATAATAATATAATAGCTTAAATAATATAATATAATAATAATATAATATATAATAGCTTATATAAAAGCATCTATGCAATACTTACGCATAGGCATAATAAAATATAAAGTTTCCTTTTTCATCTAAAAAAGATATTCTAAAATAGACAAAGACTGTGTATCATTTTTGAACTGATCATTTTGTGTTTTTCACTTGTATTAATATTTATATTGAAAAGTTTATAGTTTTGGGCTTTTATGCATATACATGTAGTAAAAAAGCGCAAAAGAACAGTTATGCACTTTCCTATAATTAAGTAAAAAATATGCGGTACTTTAACACATTGGTACATAATTCATATTCAGGTTTCGTAGAATCCTGCCGTGTGCGTTCTCCCCGTTCGAGCACCACGTCGCGAAGGAGCCAAAGAAGCCAGTGGCCAAGCAGAAACCGCCTCCGCAGGCCATCAAGGTATAATGTATGCTTTGGTCTTGTTCTATGCCTTGCGCAGTAGAAATGCGGCCAACTCTGATACGAATATAAAAATATGCATATGCTGTAAAATAACGAAATTATTAAATAATTTTGTACTTTTGATACGTACTACATATCCTTGTATTCATTCGACTATACGTTACGGAATAAGAACATCAATAATTGTAGGTCTACAAGAGTCTCAGAACATGAATTTAAAAAAATCATATTGCAGCCTACGTTAGCATATCTCATTTGACCATGTCTACGATTGAATATGTTTAATACTATTTACTTTATTGTGTAACTACTCTAAACTTACGACACTTTATATTTAGATATTTAAGCAAAAAGCCTAAAATAAAATGTATGAGACTTGCATATTATAACAAATTAATAACTCATATAACATAACACAAAGTAGATAAAAATTTTTTAAATACGTAATTACTAATAATGGAACTCATGTGTCGGATGTTAAAAACACTTCCAACAATCTTAAATACCAATTACTCCAATGTTGCTAATATGATATTTGTCTTCAGATTCTGATAGACCTGTAGGTCATTCATTTGGTTGAAAGGGCAGACGGCACCATGACTATAACTTAGAGCTAATTCCTTTACTTTATTTATTATTTACCACATATTTTTATATGGCCCATGGTATCTCAGAATAATCTGCTGTCATTTATTGTCATCCCATACAAAAGCTTCAAGAATACATGATTTTTTACTATAATAAAAGTGATAATTCTCTAATGCCCAAAATAAAATGCTGCGTACCAATAACCATACTGACATATGTATGTGAAATTGTGTGACTCATGACATTAATAAAAATATTTTTAAGAACTTTTGGATATGTGCACATAGTACAGTTTCCTTACAACGTGTTAAAAACACGTCCTTCAGTTGCAACTGATAATTTTGATCACGGTAGTTCCCAAGGTTTTTGTTCTGCTAATGTATAACTTGGCCTCATTTTTACTTTTTGCTTCGCGAATTTCTCTGCTAAACAACTTAAACATATTGAAATTTACTTTTAACTGTGTCCAATTAAATTTGGACATTCTTTTAAGGTCCTTCCCTAAATCAATTTGGTAAATAACAAGTTGCAAAATAAAAGTATTGGTAAAGTTATTCAACTCTGCGCTACATTTGTCTATTTGTTTTTTGTTCCAAAGCCTGCAATATGGCTACCTTTTATCATGTTTTACAGGAACACGGCGCGAAGGACATGCATAAGTAACTTTGTCTATTTTTTTGTATTGTGGTACTTTGTAACTCGATTTTTGTTGAAGTGTCAATATTGTTTGGTTGTTGTTAGTTGGGCGGCGAGGAAAACACCGAAAGCAAGGTATCAGCGGTCTTTACAGAATTACGAATAGGACTCGAACGCGTTCTAGTGACGAGTGAAAACACACAATGTCGACACAGTCGGTACAAGACGTAACGTATTCAAAATGTTTCACTACTGGCAACACTGGAAACTTCGGAGATCAGAAGTGTGGATAAAAAGTCTGGTTTTGTTTGTCTTTTTCTTAGCACTAATGTTAAAACATTGGTGCAAAAAAAGGGACAAATGATAACCTTTTTATTGGAGTACATAATAGTTTTTCCTGTTGGTTGGGTTTCACAGACAAACTTCAAGTGTTCAAACTTTCAGTCAACTAGACTGAAATCTCATATTTCTAAATGTTCGAATTCTGAAAGTTTTCACGATATTGTCCAACCAACATTGGATCATCTATTATGTCTACAGCCTAACATATGCGTACAGTAATACAATTGACGAATATGAGATTACGTCAAGAGTGGCAGCTTATTAAAAAACTCAACAAATTTGAAAAAAGTAGTACTGTACCTAAGCTACTGGGCAGATTACTCAAAAACTATTGAACCCTGTGTACAGTGAACAACGTAAATTTTGGACTATTCTTGCACATTCAGAAAAAAGTGACTGAAAGAGTCTATTGTTCCCCTGACCCCAGATACCTTCTGTTTAAAGATTTTACAAAAGGTACATAACTCTTTGTTGACTGTACATTTTACTACCGATTTCAAAAGTAATTGAAAGTAGTGAAAATTAGAGTGGCAACTCATTCAAGCACTAACTAGACATTGGCCTATATTCTTTATCAAGTGATTACCATTCAGCCTTATTTGAATAAAATTGAAAAGTCAAACAACTGAATTAGCACGCGCGCAATTACGCTTGTTCATTCAACTTAAAACAAGCTATGTTATATGTCACCACAAAAATATTTTTGCACTTATCACTATTTAGCAAAATTGCGCAGGTGTAAATTCAGCCTCGTATTTTCTGCATGGCCCGTGCAGTTGGTAAACGCGCGAAGTTCCACACAATTGCCAACATGGGTTATTTACTACTACATAACACTAATTCCTGCTTACCACCTGTGCGGGCGTCTCTCATCGTCCTGAAATGCGGCATGCGGTACTAGGCACCATATATTCATGTTCATTAGATTTATAATAATATATTTTCCAACGATTATAGCAATTGTCTTTTTGATGCTAAAAGTTTTTATATTGCGCTCGTAGTTCCTTTTGCTAGATTATCTGAACGTTCAAACCATCAAAATATCGGGACATTTGGCAAAAATCAACCATATCTCGTTAAGTTTAACTTTAAGGTAAACTTTCGATTATTTTCAGAACTCAATGTAAAGTGTCAATACAAAACTAGTTTTTGTGAAATGTGCTAATGTATTTTGTTTATTGAAGTTGATTCCGACGAAGACCTTACATCATAATACAAACTCTTATAAAGTTTAATGCAATATTTCAATGTCAAACATCACAAAAGAAACCTTTCACAAAGCAGAGTGCCGCATGTCGCTATGACCGGTAAACTAAATAAAATAAAAAAATAATTTCAATCTGTATTCAGTAAAAAAAAAGAGTTATAATTAATTATTCAAGTTAAAATAATACAAAGTTACTATCAAATGATACTTGTTACAGTGGCCAAAGAAGAAAGGGGGCAGGAAGAAGAAGAAAAACCGAAATAACAACTGAAGATTGAGATAGAAATATAAGATAAACAGTCCTGTAATACTGTGATCATTTATTCATAATCTGTATAACTTATTATTAGATGTAAAACATAAATAATGGATTTACAGGAATAAAAAGAATGTCAGGTCCTCTTTAGGCGTATCATATATCCGATATCGGTGACCAAAGTTCTGACCTGGCAGATTCAATCTAAAGGCATTCGCTGCCCGAAGCACAACAGCCTATGATTGAAAAATAAATTCCAAACGTTTATTCAGTTTTATAAATCGTGAAGCTTGAAGGCTAAAATTCAATAATTCAATAAAATTCAATAATTTAAATGATTTATATAAAATTAATTACGAAAAAACTATCGTTAATCTCGGTCGCATAACGGTGACTTGAATTAGGAACTTGAATGTACTGTGAGGCTCATGTGTAATGTGAGGCTCATGTGACCGGCGTTACGCACCACATGCACCATTTACGCCGGTTCCGCTTCAGACAGCGAACGCCTTAAAAGGAACCATTCTTCAGCGCGACATGAATGGCTCATTTGCTACATATTTGCGAAAATTGTTTAACAATCTACATATCATGTTCGGTAGTTTCTCCTTTCTCGAATTTTTTATAAAATTATAAACACGCCTATAGGCACTTCGTTTAGTACTTAGTACTCTATTCTTATAATAAACGTGTACTAGACCTACGGGTGTACTGCTGGTATTATCGGCTCTGCTATATGTTTAGAAAACGAATATTTTAAGAAGTTACGATAAAGTTCCTCTGACATTTTTCTTTCAAAGAGGAATAAATATTTTTCACTTTGTTAAAAAATACTAGGACGAAGTCACGTGGATGTAATCCAAAACCTACATTTTTCTCTCTATTAGTCTGAAAGTCTAATTTAAAAAAAAATCAAATGAATATGAATAAATGTCCGTTGATCAAAATGTAACAAACCATAAAACATGTAACAGAACCGAAACCTTTTTTTTTGTTAAATGTAACTTATTCAATGTGATTAAATAATGTTATAATCCAGGATTAAATACATCTTTTATTTTTTTCTATGTCTACTCTCTTTAACTTGTTTCCAGTGCCTCTACCATAACTTGGCAATAGCAGTTGTCGCTAGGGGCCGCGTAATTTACTTCAGTATAGCAAATGTAGAGCGCACCAAGTGGTCACAAGAAACATTTCTTTTGTTTACATAACCCTTTTTCGCACATTTAACCATTAATAACATTATTGCAATAGTAAAAGATGTTGCTAGCGCAATATGTACAGCGACACTAGCGGTCGCAAGACATAAAATTTATTTTGTATACAAATACTTTACGCTGTCGCTAGTGACAACTGTTACTGTAAAGTAGTTTTTTTTCTATGAAAGTAGAAGGCAAACAAACAGTCGAGCTGCTTGATGGAAGGTGTACATTGCCTAAATAATAAATAATAATTAACTTCTAAGCGGCCTCGTCGAAATAACCGTCCAATTGAGTAGCAATCTGTAATGAAAAACATTTTTTAGTGTCGAATCGAACGTCAAAATGAGTAATTATTATAAAGAGGTCAAGCCTGACTCGTAAATCTGCCGTCCACTAACTAAAACGCGGCTATGACAAGTGGTCATATATAACCAGAAACAGAGACCAAATTTCTTTAATTTGTTTGAAAACTATTCTGCCAAATCATTACGATGGCAACTGCGCTCCAATTGGCCAGCCCGAATTCGTCAATTGTTTCATTTCAAATTGACTAGTTTAACTTGAGCTTTGCTATAATCGACGAAAATTTAAAAATTACATATTTAATATTTAATTACCAATGAAATGTGATTCCTTGATGATGAATTGTAATTTGGATGTTTTGATATTTTTCCCACATCACCGAATGGAACAGCCCCCTATTCTAAGAGATATTATCTTTATTACAATAAATACAGAATATTTTTGGAATATACGGAGACGTACATACAGATCAGTTGTTGGTGCTGTACTATTTCAGCTTTCTATTTTGTGATTTCAGCGCAAATGGGAGTTGATATTTAAAAGTGATATAAGGCCCATTTGTCTGATGTGTTGTCAGATATTTCGTCTCTATTTCTGGTTATAGACTCGATGTTGTCAATGGAATACTGCCATAAATGGTGAAAGTAAGTATACGTAAATGGGAAAAGCTATTAAACGTGTGGGATATAGGTATTGTCGCTTTTCTGACACCTATGTTACTCTCGTTATTTATAACTAACGTAATCGACATTTTTAGCGAAATTGAGTTAATAACATATCTGGAAACAGCTAAATAAGATCTGCGACCCCTTATAAGCGATTTTTTTATATATTATTTAGATTCACTTTTATTGTTAAGCAAAATCAGCGTAATTTACATTTGTCATAGAAAAAAACTTTAGGTGCCAATAACTCAAAAGTTACATGAAGGCAAGTGCGTTAGTTATGACAAGGAGGGCAGTATGGGATAAAAGATGTAGTCACTTGCACCAATATAATAATAATGAAAGAAAAAACGTGACAGGCTCGAACCCATTACCTGGTCTCAAAATAGCGAATTTCCTGTACTATGAGTATAGAGTAACGGAAATATTACTCAGAACGCCTGAACTAGAAACCAAAGTGCTAACCGCTTGACCACCAAGGCCGTCATATTGTAATAATAAAAATCTCCATAAATTGTTATTTTTTTACTCATTAACCCGTTCATGGACAGTATATATCAATATGTGTTATAGTGATTCAATATAAAATGGGCCGTTTCCTCATGTTCTTACTTAGGAGCACCCAGACTAATATGTTCTTATGCTCCTATCAGGGCGTCGTTGTAATATTATTATAATAATAAATATACCGAAATTTACTTACATTTCATTGCAGGTGAATGTATAATTCACGAGAATACATAAATGAATTTAATTAATTCTATATAAAAGAGAATACAGTTATACCGTATTTGAATGAAATGTCACTTACTTGCACAGGTGTGTACTTGACATACTTGTCCGGGTTCTTGCTAAAGGGCAGCGATGCATAGGCGTCGTGGAACTGCGTGTAAGGCGGCAGCAGCGCCTGCTTATTGTCGCGTTTCAAGGCCTCGCGCAGCTCGGGATCGGGTACGCTGTAGGAGCGTTGAGCGCGGGTTATTTCTTCCCACTCGCGGTTGAACGACTGCGGAATACAGATATACCGCGACAGGAAATAAGTCAGAATTATTCGCCATACTGCGAAATTTTAAAGAAGTAAGTCTGTATTTATTAAAGAATAATGATTACTTCTTCTGTAATGGATTTTTTTTCATTATTAAGTACTTGGACTATTAATTTAGTACATTGCATTTTCCTATTGTATGAAAAAAAAAATCAATTAGACCAACTTCTGCTGTCCCAATTCTTTTTCCGATACAATGAAATGATCCGTACAAGAAACGTGAGACCATCAGCAATAAAATAAAATGTCAACATTATTCATTTTTATGGCCAACTCACGCTTGACCAAAAAGGTCCATGTCAAATAAATTTCCACAAAAAAAGATCTGATAGTTCCTAACATAGTTTCTCTGTGTTCTCGTTTCTACGGTTTCGGATTTCCCCATATTTTATTGTACGAATTAAAATCGTACTGTACGAGTATACATAGATGTTGAAAAAGAAGCAGGAGTACTCACGGCAAACTTGTCTTTAATAAGCTGTCGGTCTTTGTCCCTTAGCTTAGCGGGGAGGGGTTCCTCTATCACTATATGAGCCAGTAGTTTGTTCCAGCTGCAAATATAAAAATAAAAATGTTGCCTTAGTAAAATTGTAATAGGCTTGGTTAGCCTTTCCTGTCGAGTATATAACCAGAAATAGAGGCGAAATGGCATTAAATTTGTTTGAAAACTATTCTGCCATATCATTACTGTCACAACTGCGCTCCGATTGGCATGCCCGAGTTCGAAACAATTGACGGATGTCGTCAATGGGTGTTGTCAACTGTTTCACTTCAAATTGACCAGTTAACTTGAGCTTTGCTACAATGCAAAAAAATATTTTTTTCAAATACGGCAACAATACAAACAATACAAAGCAATACGGATATAAATGGAAGTGGTCGGCAGACTTAAGCAAATAAGAAAAAAAAATGCTTAATTTCTTTTAATACACCAACAAACAACTTTTTAACTGCCTCATTGTCGAACGGTTACCATGCCGGACTGCCACGCAGAGGTCCCAGGCTCGATTCCCGGGCCGGGAGAAATATTTGTATGCCCTACATTTATTTCTCTAGTGAGTGTGGGTGTAATTTGTGTTTGTCAAGTCAAAATTTCCCAACCGCGTGGCTGTGCGTTATTTATTTACTGTGAAACTCACGTGTATATGAAGTTTTACCGAATTTAGATATTATTATTACCTCTGCAAGTAAGAGTTCTTATGCTCCTGAATCATGTCGCGATAGTTGGCCTCACACTCAGGCTCAGCCAACATCAATATGTCCAATAAACCACTTCGCTGCAGACCCTGCAATTGCCCTGGCGTTATTATATTCTATATTAAAATGACGATCTGTAATTAAACTAACGTCCTTTAAGTTTCAATGCTCTGTTTAAGTTTTTTTTATTTTCTCTGATAATGTGTAGGGCAGGATCATAATTAGACTCAATTTACATTGTTGCGGAATGGAATGGAAGCGAATTTTTCTGACGAAAATGTACCTAGCATAATGAAATTTATTTTAATTGTATAACGTTCAAAGTAGATACGACACGGTAGCTCAGAGAATTCCCAAAACAGTGCGAGAATTTTCTGAATGCGCGACTTGTAATTGACTCGTATCTTTTGTATGTTACAAAAACTAGCATCCATTCCGATCCGTACTTTGTAAAATGAGCCTTAAAGTCGCATTACATTTAAACACCGTTTCTGTAACTCGCTGTAAGACTGGCGATAACAGAAAAAAATCCATTAGCCTGGGAACACTCTTTACGTAAGGAATATGGATAGATTATTATTATAATTGTGATGTAACTTACTTGTAGTAAATAAAGAGTGTTGTTCAACAAGAATATTGCTTTCAATGCATCTGTGTACTGTTCACTTTTATTCCTTAGAGCTAAGTTAAGTTGGGCTAACACTTTGCCTGAAAAAAATTTGTAAATTAGCTAAACAACAAATTTAATTTCTAGAGCCTCATAATCATACTGCAATTTGAGGTAATTTGAGGTAAAGCTACATCAATTTAAAATAAAAAATTGGTTTATGTAAGAGAACTTACGCATATAAATAGCTAGTATAGCAGCATCTTTGTCTTGTACACCGAGTAGTTGGTTGGCGGAGCGCGCGTACGGCTCCGCCGACAATGCTGGACCTGCAAATCGGATTAACTGTAAATTATGTAACACTTTTTTTGTGTTACCAATAATGAGTACGTATATAAATAGGTACATAAAGCGCCGCGCAAGCGAGGTTACTTTATTTAGTCTCTTGTATTGATACAAGCAACCGGTAACTAGTAGTGTATATTCTATTTTGCAATGCAATTAATAATCGCACACTATATGAGCAGACGCAGACACTATTATGTTCAGTTGCTTCCATTGGACATACAGTGATTGCCGATGTGAGCAACTGTTGCTGCACGATTGATTTGTCTATAAGTCCCACCTGAAACCAAACACAACAGTGTTACTTAAAAATTGGTAGAATAGTGAAAACACGATTTGAAAGTTGATACTAAACGGATCTTTTTGCGAATAATGTGATTATTTTTATTTATACATAATATTTAGTTATCTATTTTCAAATGAGAATATAAATTTATTGGTTTCATTTAGTATTGTATTGAACTTTCAAATCTGTTTTATGTATTTGGTTTTATGTGCGAAGTATTGACGGCGACGACGTCTGCGTAGACTCATAATCAGCACAACAAACAAAATAAGTGTTCATCGATATCCATCGTAACACGGACGGAATACTCTAGAATTCAAGCACCGAACTGTTACTAGTGTTCAAAAATAGCAACCGGTGACTGCCCGGTTGCCGTTACCGGACACAGCATGCACGATTTCATGTGATGGTGTCCTGTGAGGTAACAAAAAGTGTATACGTTTGCGCATCGCCTAATATTCTCGTAAAAGAATTACGGTATATAAACATGGCACACAAATCAATAGTATTGTTTACATAGTCCAGCACGCATCATGAGTGTTGTGTCATCAACAGTGACCACGAATGTAAGGAAGGGTGTTGTGTCTCATAGACAGTGTCCATGTGTTACCAATAGTGTGCATGTGCGCGGCTAGAGCGTGGCAGTGCGCGAGCGCAGCGGCGGCCAGTTGGTGCACGGTGCCGTCCACCGCGCCCGCCTCGCTGTCCCCGCGCACGCCCTCCACCCACTCCTCCAGCGATCGAATGCACTGCAAACAATACTCGTTAACCATGGCGTGCCCTTGATTATGATTAGTCGTATATACTGCGTGTAATGTGCCAGACAACTGCACCAATTACCTGGTCTAAAGCTAGAGAATTCCCTGTGCTATGACTATCAAAGGAACAGAATTCTGAACGCGACAACAGAGCTGCACTACCCAGAACACCCAGACCAGAAACAATTGAGAAAAGTTTATAACTCAAATTGGTCCTATCGGGAATCGAACCCGGGACCTCGTTGTCGGCCGTCGATTGATAAATATATACAAAAAAAATGTTTACCGACAAAAATAGCTTTACAAAAAACAGTATCATAGAAAGAGTAAGCGTAAACCTGCGGACAGGAGGTTTACGCTTTATGCATTTCAATTGAAATAAGATGGAAATGACCGCCCTCAGAGTATCGCAGCGCATTTTACGCTACGGTATTGAAGAGCACGCTAAAGTACCGAGGCGGGAAGCGCGCATATACAACGGAATCCTAATAATCCGAAAATTCAACTGCGTATTTGCTAATGGAACGGAGTCATTCCGAGGGACCGGTGGCATGTCGGCAGATACCGCAGCATATACCCGCGGCATTGTAGGGGATATCGTATATATGTAGGGGATATCATCAGCGTGCGCTGCCGGGCACAATATCACCAGTGTTAGACAGTCTTCTTCATAAAATCTCAAATTCATTTAAGGGGCAATGTATACGCTTCTATAATAAGATTCCGATCGATATTATATTTGCCATTTACGAGTTTTAAAACTATAGTGAAACAAAAGCTTTATACTAAAGGTTATTATACAGCTTCTGCGTACTTGGATGACAAAAATCCTTGGTGTGAAATGACCTGTTTAGTTCTTGCAAGTAGTCTCGATCTAAGTTGTTTATATTAAATATTGTAATGATAAATGTATTCCCAAAGTGGTCCCTACCGCCAAGGCGCTGAAGAGTCCTAGGGCGGTAAGGGCCTCGGAAGAAATTGGGGGCGTTGATGCTGTTCAGGAAAACCTGAATTATCAGTAACAAACTTTTTCCTTGTGATTTTTTGTGTCAGATTAATATAAAAAACACGTTTTTTCTATTATTTTTGTGGTAGTGGTGGGCGTTGAAATTTTTTTATCTTGCCTAAGAGGGCGGTGAGCTAAAAAGTTTGGGAACCTATGCCCGAGACTTTCTTGCTCATTCTTCTCGCCTTAAGAATGAGCAGAGTTTAATCAGTATGACGATTCTAAGTGTTATTTGGTTACCTATGAAATAAAGATTATTTGACTTTGACTTTATCTTTATCCGCCGGTTTGCGCTGGCCCGAAGTGTTCGTAGTGGGTACTCACGTTCTGCTGGCAGTTGTTGACGATGTTGGTGTAGAGCGTGGGCGCGGCCGGCGCGAGGGCGCGCTCCACGTCGGGCTGCAGCCGCTGCAGGCGCGCCAGCAGCGCCCAGCAGCCGGCGGCCGAGCCGCTGCAGCGGGAAGCGGCGCGCCGGCACGCGCGGCAGGCACGCTGTTGCAAATTCCAACACCACGCATGAGTGTGAGTTCCAAGAGTCATTTTTTTCCACCGCCTTGCACTCGTAGCGTATCCACCTTTTTAATAAACTTCAAAAAAGTTATTTATTCGACTGGTTTTTTTTTTTATGTATGTTACGCGACAACTTACGGCATTTGTGTACCGATTTCGATGATTAGTTTTTTGTTGGAAAGAGGATACCTCAGTATTGATCCCATTTAAATTTGAATAAAATATTCCACCACAAAAAAAGGTGGCAAATTAAATAAAATCGATTTTAATAAAACTTGGCAAATAGATAGTTTCCACGAACTTTTGAAGTCGGTTTTTTTATAAAAAAAGTTGTTAGGACATTCGACTTCACGCAATAAGTCAATTTACTATAGAAACTGGCACATAAGACCGCAATTTATAAAGTACACATATCAATACTTCGGAACAGTAAAGGCGTAAAAACCTTCAACAACCGTCAACCTGTTTCTTCACAGGTCTCTTCATAAACGCTAAAATAGGAAATGAAATCATTTTTTCTCGTCTAAATCGCGTAGATTTGTTTTTTGAAACAAACCAACTGAGTGACTGAGTCACCCGTGACCATGGCACCTAGAAAGGGCCCGAAACATGGGTTTATTTGAAAAACCAAATATGAGCGATTTATATCCGAAAAAAAAATAGTTTCATTTCCTATGTGTAACAATTGCAAAACCCTATGAATTCGATAACCTCTAAAATGCTTCAATAACTGTCAAGTTATCCCATCATATTGCACTGAGTCTTCTAACCATGACGTTAGGAGTTATATCAAGATTTGAACAACAACGATAATAATTAATGCTTTAAGCTCGTTTTATAAACTTGGAATTTTTTTAACTTTTACGTTATTTCTTCCCCGACTATCGATATAACTACCTACATAACATAACATTATAAAAACATGATACACAGTAACACTTTACTGAAGTGCAATATAAGGGAGTCCCCTTGATTATCGACGCGGAATCGGCTTGAGACGGTGCGAAAAAGTCTAAAAACGCAACAAGAGCGAAAAAGACATTGTACGGTTCGCTTTAGCTTGGATTGCTGGTATTGCATGGACATAGAGCTGACCTCGACGTCATTGGCGAGAGTGGCGAAGCAGTCCTTGAGCACCTGGGCAAGCAGAGAGGGCAGACGTGGCAGCGGTACCAGGCCCAGCAGCGCACGCTGTTCGTGCCGGGCCAGTCGCGCTACACACGCCGCAACCGAACCCGCCGCCGCTGCCTCACCCTCGTCCATGACCTCAGCCAGGTCCTCCGTATCTAAACATCGCATATACGATAATCACTTTCATTACACATTCAAGAAGCAGATAAAAAGTAAGCTCTTTTGACTGTTTCTAATTTAGAAATAGTACTGGCCACTATCGTAACATGCTCGCTGTCTGTTCTAAAATTAGTGACAATTTGTTTATTACGTTTCGCTTTGTATGGACAACAAGTCAAAAAAGTTTTTCTTAGACACCTTTTTTAACACCCCCTTCTTTTCTTCATAGGTTTTGGTTATAATGGCCCTCTCTACCGACCCTTAGAGCCCAGTTACACGTCACAGTTTGGGGGCGTGTCTGGTGGACCCAGACTTGGGTATGGACTCGCTGGGGTTTGTGGTTAGCTGCAGAGATGGACCTGTTTGTCTGCCCCGGTTGGGTGTGGCCGGGGCGTCTGTCTCGTGAGCAGCTAGCGCGTCTTAGTAGCGGTCTAGTTGAGAGCCTGAAGCGAGGAGACGCGGGACACGTGAATTGCCCTTTAAGTTGCAAGCTATGTCCGGACATTGTCGCAAGACACTGCGACCGGCATCTCCGGCGCTAGCCCGGAGAGCTAGCAGAGGATAAGCTAGATATCCTCCGATCCCTCCAGCCGCTTAGGTTATTGGGAACTGGAGAGACGTCGCTTTTCGGCGTCGGGAAGTGAGCGTGCTTTACAGCTCCGCTACCAAAGAGGAGATTTGGTAGTGGACTCTGAGTCGACCGCGTAGGGGTGGCAACCGCTAGTTGTGCAATGCACAACGGGCAGTGAGCGTACCTACAGCTCCGGTACCTATCTGGAAAACAGGGAGGGTACTGTACGTGCACCCGGGGCGGCTCACCCGAGACACTAGCCTCTCGAAGAACCGGATGAAGTCTAGTGACAGAGGTATGTGACAAACCTGTACACTGGCTGATCTGGAGTCAGATGTACAGGTATGAACTTATAAGAAGTTTCACAGGTCATAATGCCCTTCCCGCATAACCTTTTTTTAACAAATGAAATAGTGCATTTCCCGTGCAGGTATGTCAAAAAAATTTGCCATGATTGTCTTTCATTAATTCATACTTGGTAGATTACTTTCAGCCAACCTATGGAAGAAAGAAAAGAATGGAAATGGCATCAAGCAACATTAGTATCAAAACCGGTATCGCCACACGCACACATTTGAAAACGTAATCTTACATTAGTACTAAGACAACATAATTTTGATTCGTTAAAAATTCAGTCAACCGTGACTATGGGATCTGTAAAGGACCCGCAACGTCGGTTTGTTTGAAGAAACAAATATACGCGATTTAAATCCGGAAAAATAGTTTCATTTCCTATGGTGAAAAATTATCAAACGAAAATAGACAATAATGAAAAAACTTTTGGTAAAAAAAATTTAAACTTATTTAGATCTAATAAGGTTTTATTATTACTAGTCAAATAAAAGCTAAAAATCCTATGAACATAAACTTCTTGGAACAAAAGCAAACAGTTGACAATCTACAGATAGGGATGTGACATTTAATTGATATCGATATTATGTTTCATAACTAGCGGAATATTGAACTAGGCATTGGCGTATACTTGCTATAATTAGGGTTAACCACGGAGTATATGGAAATATGTAAATGTAAAGCAATTTTTTCGAAAACTAGCATAGCTGACTTTTACTTGCACACATTTGTTACCAAATACGCATAACGTTTTACTACACGCAAATACTAATTGATATTAGCTACACAGGCGTGTGTGTACGTAGCTACATGCTACAATCACAGTATTAATGATTGATTATACTGTCATCGTACTTTCATTAACCGACTAGATTTCAAGTCAATCCGATCACTGAAACATGATATTTTAGTTCAACAATCACCTCTTTCTGAGCTTACTGAACATGACTACACCTACAGCGTCGACCAGCTTGTCAAGAAAATGACGATACTTATTTCCAAAGGCGAAGAAACGAATCATTTGTCTCATAAAAACTTGACGAAAAATAACTGACAATGCTCCAGAAATGTTTTCACATTTATATGTGGTTTATAATTTGTGAAGGCAACTCTGAGTTTCATGTCATATATTACCTGATTAACCAAATGATTTATTTCTTAATGATTTTTTCGGTTGTTATTCATATGTATATAATTTAATGTGATGTCATAAAATGCCTATAACAAATGGTGCTACATTTAGTAGGTACCCAGCTTTTACTGCCTCTTGCTTCAGCCCATTTCTCCTTTAAAAAGGATCCGACGGGAAACTAAAAAAAATCATACAAAAACTGCAAATGTAAGTCATGTCTGTGATAAAACTAAGAACTCAAGCGGACGAATGTGACGTATAATAAGCAAGTAGGGAGATAGGAATCATGTAGACAAGGAAAAGTAAATCTCCAACCTCACAGTCTTCATTTGATACGCCACGAGCTTACGTGCATTGTAAAATTATCGACACTGTACCTCCTCTATCTATATTTCCTTTTTGTCCATTAATATATCGTTTTTACTTAGATTGAAATTTTTTAAATTTGCGAGTGTTGGAACCAAACATTTAAGTAATCTAAGTAATCAAAATTGTTAGCTTTTAAATACCTGTAAACAATTTATGTTTACACATTGGTACCGCTAGAATAAAAAATATTGAACTAAACCAAAACCGGGTTTCTAAATATAGAGTTTCTACATGTCGATAATTTGATTACAACACGCGGACCCAGTACTAAGTGTAATACGACACTAGTGCAAGCAATTCATTGAGCGTCATTCGAATAGTTCTATTGATGGCGGCGATGGCTAGCAACCAATGTATATTGTTATTACCGGGTTGTAAGAAAATAGTTTCGTTTCGAAATTATAGTATTTAGATTAGAAAATACAGAGTTTTAGTACTTACCGATGAAATGAAATCACTCCCGGAGTATTTTTTAAACTTTGGTTTCTTACGCGACATGATATAATGGCACAATTCGTCATATTTCTATTTTTTCCACAAAATAATCATATACCATATTTGAACGACGACAGACGCGCTGTTGACACTCATATCACCGTCTGGTCATAAGCTAGGTAAAGCGGACCCCGCCCACTAACCAGTCTATTACTAGTATTTATGTGGTCTGTGAGCCAACCCTTGCATATATTTGCTTCGTACACCATATAAGTATAAAAGAAGAAAGAAGAAAGGTAAAATACTATTAAGAATAATTCAATTATAAATCTCACAAGAATCGTTCATAATAGAGCGCCGTGGACCGATGGCAAGGCCGGTCGATTGCTCTAACGTTTGCGACGCCTTCATCATAATCTTGTTGGCGCGTTTCTCGATACTGAAAACAAATGGCATTTTAGTATGTTTAAATTTAATTATGTTTTAGTATGTTTACTAATTCATTATCTCACATACAGTACATACTTACACTTTTTGTAACTTGCTGGTTCTCCTTTGTGTGCTGTCAGAACGATATAGCAGATTTTTGGCTCTCTGCAACAAAACGACAGTAACGACAAAACGACAAACGACAAAATTTTTATTTAAATTAGGTTGAGATATGTAATACAACTCCTATACATATATAAATAGGTGAGTTCTGAATGCAGAGGACAATTAAGAAAAAAAAATATTTTTACATAATATAAACGCATGCAAAAGTGATTTCAAGTAAGTCATGATTAAAAATTCAAACCGGGCAATTACTTGTGTAAAAATCAAATCGAAGAAAAATTAAAATCTACATAAATAATTAACATCTGAGTCCAACAGTCGAGCGAAGACCTGCCATGTTACCTTACGTGAGAGGTGTTACAGACAAAATCGGAAGAGTCCTCAGGCGTGCATCTATCAAGACCTATTTCAAGCCCCTGAGGAAGATTTCTCAGTTCCTGAGACCCGTGAAATGTAACATCCCCTTACAGGATGCAGGAGTTTACAAGCTTGACTGTGAGTACGGTCTCTCTTATATTGGACAAACAAAGCGAAGTATTTGTACCCGCGTCAAAGAACATATAGCTGATGTCAAACACCGTCGCGTAAACAAGTCTGCAGTCTGCGAGCATGTCATGGATAAACCTACACATTCAATGAAGTTTGACAAACCCCAGGTCCTTGCAAAAGAAGTCCGTTATCTGCCCAGGATGCTGCGAGGCCATTGAAATTAAAAAACTCCTAATTTCAACAGGGAAGATGGTTTCTCCGTACCACCAGTTTGGGATCCAGTATTTCCTCTAATGAAAAATCCCAAACAGACATAAGACTGCAGTACTAATTAATATGTTTTAGTTTATTCTAATTTCTATTAATAATTAATAATAAATTAAACTTCATAAAAATTCATTCAATAAATAATTTGTAAAACTTAATGTAGCGTAAATTGGAATGTTTTCTTTGTAAAATTAAAAATAAGGTATTTAATTAATAACTATTGTAACTATAGTGAAAAAATAGGGTGGTTTGCATTAATATTAGACATAACTGGTTGAAGACTGTACCACCTCAGTCAACCGTGACCATGGGACCTGTATAGGGCCCGAAACGTCGGTTTGTTTGAAAAAACAAATATACGCGATTTAAATCCGGAAAAATAGTTTCATTTCCTTTAGTATAAAGTTTTTATTTCACTATAGTTTTAAACCTCGTGAAAGGCAAATTTTGTATATCAACCGGAATCTTGTTATAGAAGCGCATATATTGCGCCTTACATGATTTTTTGTCTTTGTGAAGACGACTATCAAGAAAAGCTAGTTTATTTCTATTCCTCGTATTAATGTTATGTCTGTCACTATTTTTCATAAAGAAATTACTATTCCTTTTAACATAAATTACATTTTCATAAATGTACTGTGAGGCTAGTGTAAGAATGTTAATTTCCTTAAACTTATCTCTCAAAGATACTTTGGGGCCCAGATTGTAAATTGCCCTAACTGCACGTTTCTGCAGGACAAAGATTCTATTGATATCGGCGGCATTAACCCAAAGCAAAATGCCGTATGTCATTGGACTGTGAAAGTAGCTGAAGTAAACCAATCTAGCGGATTCGACGTCTGAAAGTTTCCTTATTTTTTTTAATCGCGTACACTGCAGAGCCGAGCCGTTTTGATAACTTACTTATATGGGGACCCCATTGCAATTTAGCATCAAACGTTATACCTAGAAATACAACTGTATCCATAAGATTCAATTTTTCGTTTCCAACTACAATGTTTGTAACCATCTCTCTAACATTGGGTAATGTAAATTTCACACAATTTGTTTTTTTCTCATTAAGAAGTAGGTTATTAACAGCAAACCAATCAACTACTTTAGATATAGCATTGTTCAAATCGTCGTAGGAACATTAGTGCCTTTTAACTTTAAATAATAAGGAAGTATCATCAGCAAACAATACTATCTCAAGTTTTATACCCTCCATACGGCTAGGTAAGTCATTAATATAAACTAAAAACAAAAATGGGCCTAGAATTGAACCCTGAGGGACACCCATGCTAATTGCAGATCCTGATGATCTTGTACCGTTAACATCGTACCCTCTGTACCCTACCACGCAAATACGATTTAAGAAGGTCGAGATCACGTCCCGCCACACCATAATGGCGAAGTTTCCTGACCAGTGTATCATGGTGCACACAATCAAAAGCTTTGGAAAGGTCACAGAATACACCAATAGCATCATGTGAGACTTCCCATGTATCAAATATATGATTAATCAACTAAAAAAAAATTACTTTGTTTGGATTTTTGCATAGTTTTGCTGTAAATAAGTTTTAAATAAAGTTTTATTAATGCCTAATATTATTTTTTATCAAAACTCAATAGTCAAGAACAATTCAGGATAAGAAATGTTCCAATTTTGCAAACATAGTTTTTTAGTAAAATTTACTCCGTTTGCACATTAATAGCAATAATTTCATATTTACATTAGATACCATGAGAAATGATATCATTTTGAAATCCTCATTAAACCTACATTATTTTAAAGTACTTGGCCACACAGGTTATCATACTTTATTTTTATACAGAAAGCGCGTAAACTTCGTAAAAATAAATTATTTCTCTGAAAAATGAAGTTAAACTTTTTTTTTTAAATGTACATTACTTAGTCATACCATTTACTGCTTATCAAAGGACACAGTTACCGTAGAATATTATGACACCAAAAAACCAAATAAATTCATTCATTTGTAGTCATAGTGCACAAAAACCTAAAATAAGATAAAAATAATTAACTTTTAAGAAAAAAAAACATTCCTTAGGTACTACATGGGATAGATTTTTTTTGCATTTTTTTTGGAACAGTCTTAAGCTCTGCTATAAGCCATTTCAGTATGATACATTCATTACCGGACACCCTGTATATTATTATGTCGAATTTTGTACAAATTCACTTAAAAATAATAAAGAGTTGGGCAGATACATGCATACAAATATTACTATAAATGTGAAAATAAGCGTATACTATAAGAAATGTACCGATATTCCAACTAAACGTAAACTCAAACATCCGTAATTCCGAAAACCGATTTACAATAAAACCGTTACGATTTCGTGTAATTTTAATGCTTTTCACAAAGACAAAATTAGTTTTTATTTTGTAACCTTTCTAAAAAAATACATTTGACATGAAAAGTCGAGCTAACGTTATTTCGGACAAATGTATTTTCTGACTTCTAATAGGTAATCCCAAGCCGTAAAACGAGTACAACAATATTTTGTTAGTTATTGCTAACGTTTAATTAAAAATCATTTTAAAAATAAGATTAAAATCAAAGCGACTCTATAGTTTCTTTGTTCTAAATATTTCAATCGCTTATGGTTCGAACAATTGAAAATGACCAAGAAGTTTATATATAAGCTTCTTGAAATTGAGACAATGGGTCTCTTTCCATCTTTTGCGCATGCAATGTGTACAAATAGGACAGCTGGCTATTTGATTATTTTGTGTGCTTTTGTAATTTATATTTACAATTCATTTATATATATAAATATAAATTAAATACTATAAAACTGTACAAAATAACATTTTTAAATGCGAACTATGATAACACAATATATTTGTTTAGTGAAAATATGATACAAAACCCTGTTTTTACACTTTACTGCAGTAATTTTTACAAGTTATTATTATATGGTACTGCATGATTGACAACCGCGCTGACAGTCGAACAAACCAAGACTGTTGCGCGATTGACGCTCTGTATGTGATTTTAACGCCCTATAGATGCGGACACTTTTAAGCCCGATGTCCATTTATTGGTAGGTCAATGAGGTTAGTCACACATTTTAAAGGATTTTGTGTCAAAAGTGTGTTGTCTGTAGCAGTAAATTTTTTTTTTTAATATAAAAACTAGACCTTTTTGATCATTTATCTAAAAATCTTATATTCTAATGAAATAACATTGAATAAATCAGTCTTCTTTATGATACCTCTCTCGCCCAAACAACCACATGCTGATCAAAATAAAAACTCGAACAAGCCAGGCCCCGTCTAATTGCGCAGGACTTGCATGCAAAATACCTAACTATGTCCAGCTTAATCCGGACTTTTGGCAACACTGCTAATATATAAAATTAAAACTTACATGGTCAGTAAGCATGGATCGCGAACGCAAGTAGTCCTTGAAGTTGTTGAGTGAGGTGTTGGCGGCGGGCGCACGCACAGCTAGTAGCGCCGCGACAGGTGGGCGCCCCGCGCCGCTGAGCCACGTGGCCGCCGCCCGCATAACTTCCAGCGCTGTGCCGGGGGTCGAACCACTACCACTTACGCTTACGCTGTCCACACTTGAGTCTATGAAAAAAAGCATAGTGACTAATACAAATGACGACAGCCCAATATTCATCCCCTGAACAAAGTCATATAGGTTGCAGGCTAGGTATAAGAAATGAAGGAAACTTTGTCAATCTCTCCATTCCTCTTATTTGAGAATTTGTAATATAACGTATTACACATATTACACGTAGTCACTAACATGACTCATAAGATCATTATTGTTCACATGGATGTAAATCTGAAATAAATGTATTATTATTAAAGTTACATGGCCAGTATTGATTCTATTCAGCTTTAGGTCACTGTTAATGTTTAACTGCCTCTGTGGCTGAACGGTTACCATGCTGGACTGCCACGCAGAGGTCGCGGGTTTCATTCCCGGACTGGAAAAAATATTTGTAAGGCATACATTTATTTCTTTCGTGAGTTTGGATGTAATTTGTGGTTGTCTATATGCGTGTCCATGGCACTCGCAGTACAGGGTTTCCCTAGTGCAGGACTATGAGTGTGTGTGTGTGTGTGTGTGTACTGTTCACCTTGCCTGACTGTAATATTGGTGACAAGTGAGCCAATATGATGAATTACTTCTACAATACAATTATGAACATAAATTAAGCATAATTACAAAGGTGTTTACCTTCCTCTAAAGCAATCATATCCATAATGGTAGTAGGTGAAAGAGGCCTTGTGTTGCGACTCAATAACTCTTCAAATGCACTCTCTAGTTTTTGCACTCCTGTGTTGTACAATTGGTTCTAAAAATGATAGCATTGCATGAAATTGTGGTGTAAAATAAAAATCATAGAGACATACATAAAATATTTTTACTCACAATATTTTCTAGTTCAACACTCTGTGGATTGTTTTTATTGAAATAGTTTTGTGCTTCTGCTAATTTGTCCAAAGCCTGAAAACAAACTAATGTTATGATGATAGAAGGAAGATCTGGCAACTCTGCCCTGTGATCATAAGCAAATATTTTAAAACACAGTATAAATACCAAATACTTGAAATAAAATCAAAGAACTTAATGGAAAATCTTAATACTCTTAATAATCTTAATCTAAATATACCACAAATATTTCATTCACAAACCTCCAAGTAAATATTGAGTGATTCAATGGAATCTGTGTGAGGCCCAGCCTGAATCAAATCACATAGCTCGCTAGTCACCAGGTAGTAGCCAATAACTTCATCCAGCTCTTCTATTGTTTTACCCATGTCTGGACAAAATAAAAGCAATTTTAACATGGAACATTAACCTTTCACCAGATAAATCATTCCGATCATTTATTGCAAATCAGGCCTGTCTGGCACATTAATGCTTGACAGCAGAAATAGGTAAGGTGGCAGTACTTACCTGGATGAACTATTTCACAAGCAGCTCTACTGCCACTACCAAGTACAAAATAGCAGTGCTGTACTCAGGTTTGAAGGCTAAAGTCAATGTAATCACAGGCAAAGAAAAGACCCATAATCTAATGCACCAAGTCTAGCAAAGTTTCTGATACCTATGTAAAAAAAACACCTCAGCATTGCAACTGTTGCACAGCATTTATCACTTTCCATCAGGTGAAATGTCTTCTTCACACTCTTAATGATAAACAAACTTACTATGATGTATCTGCTGCAAACGTGCTGTTTCCCCATATAAAGGTAGCACAGCAGCTTCCAACTGTTGTAATCTCTTCTCACACGCACCAAGTACCTTGCAAACGTCACTGGCCAGTTGTGAGCTCCTACCAGCAGCTGCTTTCAGTTCCTGGATGTTGGTCATCTCCTAAAAAGTACAGTAACCACCATCAAAGGCTGTCTTTACATGATTGATACGCCCATTACAAAGTTTGCTTTTTCCTTGTAAATTTAGGAGTTTCTAAAAATATTATTTACAGGTCATACAATCAAATTTATTCCAAAAAGCTCTAAAATGCGAGAGAAATAATTAGTGCAAATACCTTCTTTAACTTCATCTCAATTTCGGATTTCTTCTCTATCAAATGCATTGCAGTGATTGTGTAATCTGTTTCTAAACTACAAACAATTGAACAAGTAGGTATAATAGTTACAATGCAAGTAATTGATTAATTTGGCCAGTTTGTTTTTATAAAATTTCAAGATACCTATCTTTAGACTTTTCAAAAAATTAAAAATGTTTATCTTTGTGGTAATAGGAAATGTCAAATAAACTGTCAAACAAAAACTGTAAACTTTTTTCCATACTTTTTATGTAAACTTCGGACGGAACCTTTTTTTCCATCCTCTAATTTGATTCGTGGTTCTTTTTTATATTTTTTTTATATAAGTCGTTTGAGCCAAGATCTCTTTTTTTTCGAACTTACTTTTAGTTATAAAATTTTTGTTATAATATTCACGCATAGAATGATAGTTTTAGTAGTAGGTTAATTTTCGGTTTTAGTGAATATTTATATAAAAATACAAGTTGATATCTATTTTATGTTTGTCTGATGTATTTTTACACTCATTTACCTCACATTTCGTCATTTTTAGCTAAAATTCTTGAGCTGTTTGCGGTGCAAGTTAACCTTGAGCACTGACGGCCCGCCCGCTCGTGTAGGCCCATTCGGAGCGCTTCAATTTGCCTCACTTAGCGTGTGCGGACTAGGTTTCTATGCGTTATTATTCTAAGATTCATGCTAAATAAAACTTGAAAAGATACTTTAAGCGTGGAATATAATATAAACCTTCGAATTATATTTTTCCAATTTTATTAAATTTTCCGTTTTTATAAA